TCAGGATGGAAGATGAAATTAAAACCTTCCACGATAAACAAAAGTTAAAAGAATTTGCAGCTAGAAAACCATCTCTTCAAAACATCCTTGGCAAAACATTACAGGAAGAGGAAATGGAAAATAACAATGAAAACCAACAGTGGGAGGTAGGACACTAAAGGGGGGGAAAATAATCAAAGAGGAAAACAAACCATGTTTAGTAACATAAATAAACAAATATGGCTGGAAGAACAACCCATATCTCAATAATAACCCTAAATGTTAATGGCTTAAACTCACCAATCAAGAGACACAGGCTAGTAGAATGGGTCACAAAACAAGACCCAACAATATGCTGCCTACAGGAGACGCATTTGATAGGAAAAGACATACATAGGCTGAAGGTGAAAGGTTGGGAAAAATCATATCACTCATATGGACTTCGGAAACAAGCAGGAGTATCCATACTCATATCAAATAAAATAGATTTCAAGCCAAAGTTAATCAAAAGGGATAAAGAGGGATACTACATACTGCTCAAGGGAACCATACACCAACAAGACATAACAATCATAAATATATATGCCCCAAACAATGGTGCAGCTATGTTCATCAAACAAACTCTTCTCAAGTTCAAGAGTCTAATAGACCACCATACAATAATCATGGGAGACTTCAACACACCTCTATCACCACTGGACAGATCTTCCAAACCAAAGTTGAATAAGGAAACTATAGAACTCAATAACACAATTAATAACCTAGACTTAATTGACATATATAGAGTATACCACCCAACATCAAGCAGTTACACTTTTTTCTCAGCAGCACATGGATCCTTCTCAAAAATAGATCATATATTATGTCACAGGGAAACTCTTAGACAATATAAAGGAGTAGAGATAATACCATGCATCCTATCTGATCATAATGGAATGGAACTGAAAATCAATGATAAAAGAAGGAAGGGAAAAGAATACATCACTTGGAGAATGAACAATAGGTTACTGAATGATCAATGGGTTATAGAAGACATCAAGGAAGAAATTAAAAAATTCTTAGAGATTAATGAAAACACAGACACAACATATCGGAATCTATGGGACACATTGAAAGCAGTTCTAAGAGGAAAATTCATTGCTTGGAGTTCATTCCTTAAAAAAAGAAAAAACCAACAAATAAATGATCTCATACTTCATCTCAAAATCCTAGAAAAAGAAGAGCACAACAACAGCAAAAGAAGAAGAAGGCAAGAAATAATTAAAATCAGAGCTGAAATTAATGAAATCGAAACAAAAGAAACAATTGAAAAAATTGACAAAACTAAAAGTTGGTTCTTTGAAAAAATAAACAAAATCGACAGACCCATAGCCATGCTAGCAAAGAGAAGAAGAGAGAGAACTCAAATTACTAACATACGGGATGAAAGAGGCAGTATCACAACAGACACTTCAGAAATACAGAAGATAATCAAAAATTATTTTGAATCCTTATACTCCAATAAATTAGAAGATAGTGAAGGCATAGATAAATTTCTTAAGTCATATGATCTGCCCAGATTGAGTCAGGAGGATATAGACAACCTAAACAGACCAATATCAATTGAGGAAATAGAAGAAACCATCAAAAGACTACCAACTAAGAAAAGCCCAGGACCAGATGGGTATACAGCAGAGTTTTACAAAACCTTTAAAGAGGAACTAATACCAATACTTTTCAAGCTACTTCGGGAAATAGAAAAAGAGGGAGAACTTCCAAATTCATTCTACGAGGCCAACATCACCCTGATACCTAAACCAGACAAAGACACTTCAAAGAAAGAAAACTACAGACCAATATCTCTAATGAACCTAGATGCAAAAATCCTCAATAAAATTCTGGCCACTCGGATACAAAAACTTATCAAAAAAATTGTGCACCATGATCAAGTAGGATTCATCCCTGGGATGCAAGGCTGGTTCAATATACGGAAATCAATAAATGTTATTCACCACATCAATAGACTTAAAAATAAGAATCATATGATCATCTCGATAGATGCGGAAAAAGCATTTGACAAAGTACAGCATCCCTTTATGTTCAAAACTCTAGAAAAACTAGGGATAACAGGAACATACCTCAATATTGTAAAAGCAATCTATGCTAAGCCTCAGGCTAGCATCATTCTGAATGGAGAAAAATTGAAGGCATTCCCTCTAAAATCTGGAACAAGACAGGGATGCCCTCTCTCTCCACTTCTGTTCAACATAGTTCTCGAAACACTGGCCAGAGCAATTAGACAGACGAAAGAAATTAAAGGCATCAAAATAGGAAAAGAAGAACTTAAATTATCACTATTTGCAGATGACATGATTCTATACCTAGCAGACCCAAAAGGGTCTACAAAGAAACTATTAGAGCTAATAAATGAATTCAGCAAAGTGGCAGGATATAAAATCAACACGCATAAATCAAAGGCATTCCTGTATATCAGCGACAAATCCTCTGAAATGGAAATGAGGACAACCACTCCATTCACAATATCTTCAAAAAAAATAAAATACTTGGGAATCAACCTAACAAAAGAGGTGAAAGACTTATACAATGAAAACTACAGAACCCTAAAGAGAGAAATAGAAGAAGATCTTAGAAGATGGAAAAATATACCCTGTTCATGGATAGGCAGAACTAACATCATCAAAATGGCGATATTACCAAAAGTTCTCTACAGGTTTAATGCAATGCCAATCAAAATCCCAACGGCATTTCTTGTAGAAATAGAGAAAGCAATCATGAAATTCATATGGAAAAACAAAAGACCCAGAATAGCAAAAACAATGCTAAGCAGGAAGGGTGAATCAGGCGGTATAGCGATACCAGACTTCAAACTATACTACAGAGCAATAGTAACAAAAACAGCATGGTACTGGTACCAAAACAGGCGGGTGGACCAGTGGTACAGAATAGAGGACACAGAAACCAATCCACAAAACTACAACTACCTTATATTTGATAAAGGGGCTAAAAGCATGCAATGGAGGAAGGATAGCATCTTTAACAAATGGTGCTGGGAAAACTGGAAATCCATATGCAACAAAATGAAACTGAATCCCTTTCTCTCGCCATGCACAAAAGTGAATTCAAAATGGATCAAGGAGCTGGATATCAAATCAGAGACACGCCGTCTGATAGAAGAAAAAGTTGGCTACGATCTACATTCGGTGGGGTCGGGCTCCAAATTCCTCAATAGGACACCCATAGCACAAAAGTTAATAACTAGAATCAACAAATGGGACTTACTCAAACTAAAAAGTTTTTTCTCAGCAAAAGATACAATAAGAGAGGTAAATAGAGAGCCTACATCCTGGGAACAAATCTTTACTCCTCACACTTCAGATAGAGCCCTAATATCCAGAGTATACAAAGAACTCAAAAAATTAGACAATAAGAGAACAAACAACCCAATCAACAAATGGGCCAAGGACCTGAACAGACACTTCTCAGAGGAGGACATACAATCAATCAACAAGTACATGAAAAAATGCTCACCATCTCGAGCAGTCAGAGAAATGCAAATCAAAACCACCCTAAGATACCATCTCACTCCAGTTAGATTGGCAGCCATTATGAAGTCAAACAACAACAAGTGCTGGCGAGGATGTGGGGAAAAGGGTACACTTGTACATTGCTGGTGGGACTGCAAATTGGTGCAGCCAATTTGGAAAGCAATATGGAGATTTCTTGGAAAGCTGGGAATGGAGCCACCATTTGACCCAGCTATTCCCCTTCTCGGTCTATTCCCTAAAGACCTAAAAAGAGCATGCTACAGGGACACTGCTACATCGATGTTCATAGCAGCACAATTCACAATAGCTAGACTGTGGAACCAACCTAGATGCCCTTCAATGGATGAATGGATAAAAAAAATGTGGCATTTATACACAATGGAGTATTACTCTGCATTAAAAAATGACAAAATCATAGAATTTACAGGGAAATGGATGGCATTAGAGCAGATTATGCTAAGTGAAGCTAGCCAATCCCTAAAAAACAAATGCCAAATGTCTTCTTTGATATAAGGAGAGTAACTAAGAACAGAGTAAGGTCGAAGAGCATGAGAAGAAGATTAACATTAAACAGGGATGAGAGGTGGGAGGGAAAGGGAGAGAGAAGGGAAAATGCATGGAAATGGAAGGAGACCCTCAGAGTTATACAAAAGTACATACAAGAGGAAGTGAGGGGAAGGGGAAAAATAATATAAGGGGGACAAACGAATGTCAGTAGAGGGAGCAGAGAGAGAAGAGGGGAGGGGAGGGGAGGGGAGGGGGGATAGTAGAGGATAGGAAAGGCAGCAGAATACAACAGACACTAGTATGGCAATATGTAAATCAATGGATGTGTAACTGATGTGATTCTGCAATCTGTATATGGGGTAAAAATGGGAGCTCATAACCCACTTGAATCAAATTGTGAAATATGATATATCAAGAACTATGTAATGTTTTGAACAGCCAACAATAAAAAATTAAAAAAAAAAAAAAAAAATTTCCTCAAAACTAAAAAAAAATAATAATTCTTTGTATTTCTATTGTTAAAAATTCTTTTTTTTTTCTCCACCCTACCACCCCTTCCTGATGGCAAAACATTTCAAACCAGTTAAAGTTTATTTATTTTAAATGCTTGGTAAGCAATTAAAGAAAATTAGCTAATAAATGTGACTAGCAAAGTGCTGGATGTCTTTATATACATTAACATAATTTATTACCCTCCCGTACCACATTAATACTGATAATTACAATTAACATAAATTGGGTTTGATAATGTATATTTCTGAGTGCTTTATATAAATGATCTCATTTACTTCTCATTATCCAATTAATTCTGTGAATTAAACTTCATATGAAGATAAATTTATATAAATTGATTATGATTTGCTTCCTAAGTTTTTCTTTGATAAAGATTTCTTGTACTGGATAAAAATAAATAAATTTTTCCAAAGATTCTTAAAATGAACTTGAAATTTTTGTCATCTTATAATACAGATCTGACAGGTGCTCAAGATGGGAGTGTCAGAATGTTTGAATGGGGCCATTCTCAACAAATAACCTGTTTTCGATCTGGCGGCAATTCAAGAGTTACAAGAATGAGATTTAACTATCAGGGAAATAAGGTAGTGTGTAAAATGGAAATGGTAAAAGAGGCTTGATTGTGTTGGGGGTTTATAAATATCACTAGTTTGAGTTTCTGAAGAGAATAACTCAGTAAATCAATAATAATGCTTTAATCTTATATGAATTCTTTGTTTTTTAAATTCTAGCCAAAAGTACATTTAAATGTATTTGGTTCTTCCTGGATATATGCTGTAAATATGTCGACTAAAATTAAAAGTTGCCTTAGGACCAATGATTATAGGCCTATCGTATATTACACATTTTTTATTTATTAAATGTTGATTTCTTTATCCCTGGTAATCTACTTCAACTATGATCCAGCACCAAACAGCAAGTTGCATTTGGGAACTTGGTAGAAGTACATTTTACAGGCTTCTCTTCAAACTTACTGAATCACCATCTGCATTTTAAATAGATACTTTTGTGATTTGTATACTTATTTAAGTTTTGAAAAACACTGCTCTAGAACCAAGATATTAGCAAACTGTGATCTAGCCATCTATTTAGTAAATAATCTTATCACAGTTAATCCAACTATTGTTTGTTTTCTTTGGCTATTTTCCACTGTAACAGCGGAGTTCAGGAGGACAAAGACCTTATAGTGGGCAAGCTAAAATATTTATTATGTAACCTTTAAAGAAAAAGTTTGCTGAACCTGCCTCCTCTAGAACATCCCTTACCTTCATTTCCCCCTTTCTCTGCTTTCTTCAAATTGCCTCTCTGCTCCTCGTATCTCAGTTGCACTTTAAATAATCATTATAAAGCAAATCAGCCTCTTCTTTGTCTTCAAGTCCGTAATCCACTAAAAATTACTCATGTAGACCCTAGCTGATGGTATATCTACTTTTCTTTCCCCTAAGTCTCTCAGTCTTTAACCTTCCTCACATGTTGCTTGTATAATTATGTGCTACAACCTTTTGTTTACTCTTTGTCACATAGTTTTATTTCCATTTTACAAAAGTCAGTATTGTTTAATTTAGTTGTGAAATCATATTTGGAGAGCTTATTTCTTAATGCCAATTAGCAACATTTTTTGTTCCCTAGTGGGAAATTAAAAATCTATTGTAGAAACCAGTATAATTTGTATCAGTTAAGCATTGCTAATCTGAAATCTGAAATGTTCCTAAATCTCAAACGTAATTAGCAACAAATGAGCATTCCTAATCTGAAAATCTAAAAATGTGAAATGCTCTGAAAGTACTTTTGAGCACTTTAGGTTGCTGGTAAAGTTTTGGACTTAGGAGCATTTTGGATGTCAGATTTTCAGATTAAGGATACTCAACTAGCATAATCTATGCAAATATTCCAAAATCTGAAATACTTCTGGTCCAAAGCATTTTTGATAAGGCATACTCAACCTGTATTCTCGTTTGTGTTCCTTATCATTATCCTTTATATATTCATAATTTTCCAATTTGTTGTCAATACTGCATTATTCCTAATAGTCTCTATAAATAGATCATCTTGTCAACAAAATTGCATAACACGCAGCATAGTTACCTAACTGCAATATAGGTAAGATCATATTATTTTTTTTTTAAGAATCCTTCAAGACAACTTCATGTCAAAATTTTTAGCATGATATTTAAGACCTTCTAAAATCTTATTTTTCAGCTTTAATTCTCAGTACAGTCTTCCACATGAGCTATTTTAAGGCTTGACAGGCAGAGAACTTACTGTACATTTACCTCCATCATGAATCCCAAATACCTAAGCATCCTCTCCATTTGATTGTCGTCTACCGATAGAAATAGACAGCAAAACTTCAACAAGGACAGTAGAACAGGGAAGAATTCTTGGAAAATTAAAAACATGATTCCAAAAAATTGTGTTCAGTCATTGAACTGAATCTAAAGTATTATGTGTAAGAATGTTTAAAGCAGCACTTTTTTTCTTTTTTTAAATTTATTCTCTTTAGATACATAACACTAGAGTGTATTTTGATATGTACATACATGGAGTATAACTTCCCAATCTTATGGTTGTACATGATGTTGAGTTACCCTGGTGGTGTGTTCACATATGAACATAGGAAAATTATGTCCAATTCATTCTATTGTCTTTCCTGTTCCCCTCCCCCATACCTTTCCTTCATTCCACTTTGTCTAATCCATTGTACACCGTCCCATTTATTGTGGGGCATCTGCATATCAGAGAAAATAATCGGCCTTTGTTTTGGGGGGATTGGCTTATTTCACCTAGCATGATAGTCTCCAGTTCCATCCATTTACCAGCAAATGCCATAATTTCATTTTTCTTTATGGCTGAGTAATATTCCTCTGTGTGTGTGTGTGGGGGGGGTACCACATTTTCTTTATCCGTTGCATCTTTGAAGGTCATCTAGGTTGGTTTCATAGCGTGGCCATTGTGAACTGAGATGCTATAAAGAGTGATGTGGCTAAAGCACTACTTTTTGTAATGGGATAAATTGAAAACTGTTTATAAGAGAAAAAAGCAACACAGTTCATTGGAAGAACTGAATAGCACAACAGAAATAGTTAAAAATCATGTTTATGGGTCTGGGGTTGTAGCTCAGTAATAGAGCATCTGCCTAGCATGTGTGAGGCACTGAATTCGATCCTCAGCACCACATAAAAATAAATAAATAAAATAAAGGTATTGTGCCAATCTACAATTAAATATATTTTTTTTAAAAAATTATGTTTATGGGGCTGGGGTTGTGGCTCAGCGGTAGAGCACTTGCTTCGCACATGCAAGTCACTGGGTTCGATCCTCGCCACCACATAAAAATAAATAAGTGAAATAAAGGTATTGTGTCCAACTATAACTAAAAAATAAATATTTTTTAAAAATCATGTTTATGATTGGGAAGCACAAATTAATAAATTATCCTATGATAAAAATGTCTCAGGAAATATTCTAGAAGAAGAAGAAAAAAACAAAATAATGAAGGAAAAGCAATATTCAAAGAAATAAAGAATAATTCCCCAAAGCAAAGAACAGAACGCTGTAGGAGAAAGAGCCTGATAAGTACTATGTGGGGGGGAAGTATTGAAAAACAACATATATTCACATACATCTGGTTGTTTTGTTATTGGATTTTTAAATTGAAGGATGAAGAAAAATACTATAAGCTCCTATGACAGAGTAGTGGTATGCATAGTTATTTACAACCTCCACCTTTCAAACTAATGTCATCAATTCACTCAAAGATTAATTTGACCATAGAGCATTATCCACAGAATTCTCTGATAAACAAGAATGGGACCTGAATTGAAGTCCATCCAAATTATCAAAGTTGATGACTAATAATACATGTGTCCTCTCTCTAAAGAACATACTTTATTTATTCAGAAAATAGAAAAAAATAAGAAATATAAATCCTGGAAAAATACTTGTAAAATACCTGTAGAAACTATGGGTTAATATTCCTAATTTTAGCCCTATTAATTTTTTAATGGACCAATAATTTAGTAGAGATATAGACTAACAATAGTAATAATTTATGAAAAGTCTGTGCATAGTCAGTAACCTTCACTAATAATTGAACTCAAAATTAAAGTTTTTTTGTACAAAATTGACAAATATTTCAAATTTTAATACTATTTAGTGTTACCTAAGAAAAAAAATTGGTGTGAATTCATATTTCCACTTAGGATTTAATTTTGCCTTCATCTCTCAATTTTAAATGACAATTTTTGACCAAGCCTTCCCAATTCTGAATATCTATCACATAGTTATGAAAAGGCATATCTGATTGATTGTATATTATCTTCTGAAAAGTGTTCAGTTCCTTGGCCCATTTGTTGATTGGCTTATTTGTTTTTTTGGTGTTAAGTTTTTTGTATTTCCTAGATGATGGGCATGTGGTAAAAATTTGCTCCCCTTCTGTAGGCTCTCTATTCACCTCGCTGATTGGTTGTTTTTCTGAGAAGAAGCTTTTCAGTTTGAATCCATCCCATTTGTTGATTTTTAAATTTATTTCTTGTACTATAGGAGTTTTATTAAGGAAGTCGGGCCTAATCTGACATGGTAAAGATTTGGGCCTACTTTTTCTTCAGTTAGGTGCAGGGACTCTGGTTCAATTCCTAGGTCCTTGATCACTTTGAGTTGAGTTTGTGCATGGTGAGAGAGAGGGGCTTAGTTCCATTTAGCTGCATATCGCTTTCCAGTTTTCTCAGCACCATTTGTTGAAGAGGCTGTCTTTTCTCCAATATATGTTTTATAAACTATAAGGGGAAAACACAGAGCTAGATTTGTTTTGACATAGAAATATAATAAATGAAAATGGAACTGTGGAACTATATATTACAATCCCATTTGTTATTTTAAAATGCTGTGTGTAAATGTTTAAATATTCATAGAAAGAAATCTTAAACAACATCAAATGGTCGTAGTAGGTATTAGATCTGGAAGGAGGAGAGGACAAGTGTCCAAAATAAACATGTGTTTTACTTATATACTTTACATAAGCATACACAATTTTTACAATTTAAATAAAAAATATTTTAGCTGTCTTACTCATCCTGGAAGATCTTTACATACTCCTTTATTGAATTATGTTAATGTCTTCCTAATTATAATTACTCCTAAGCTCCCGTAGTAGAATTCTTTTAATGTGACAATCCTTATTTCACTTTCTACTCTTAACATGTTTTCCTTGTTTTATGTTTCTGAAAGTTCTTATTTTGTCCTTTTCAGAAATGTTTTCTGTCTTACATATGACTTAAAACTTGGTCATATGTAAGTTTAGTAGTAATGTACTTTTTTGGAGTATTTATAGAGAATATATAGGTGATGCTTTAGATTACTATAATTAAAGGGGTATCTGGTGTTTGTTTCCTTTTTGTCTACCCTGGCATATTGTTTAAGCAGAAGCTAAATGTTATTTTTGAGCTAGATTCATGCATAGGTGAAGTAAAATTTTGAACAATATTTCAGTTTAATATTTAAGCAAAAGTATGACTGTCACAGTGAAGATAAGTTTAAATATGTGCTTTTGTATTAAACATTTAAAATTTTTAAATATTTTTTCTCCAAGTTTGGAATAGTTGATGCTGATGGATATTTAAGTTTGTATCAAACAAACTGGAAATGTTGTCCAGTTACTGGGAGCATGCCTAAGCCATACCTGGTAAGCCAAGATTTCCTACCTATATAATAAATTTGAATTTTTATTTTAAAGAAACCAAGAATGTATTTGAGACAAGATATATTCAAGTAAAATCTGTGCAGTGTTATGTACTCCCAGTCACTTTATATAGGCTCCTGTCCTTGTATTATGTTTAAATTGTTCTGTGAAACATAAAAATCCTTCATCTCTGATAATTTGGAAAGTTAATATGTACAGAACTAACATGGTACCTCCAGAGACCCATGCAATGTATATATTACCTACATGGAATGATTGTCATATCAGTGCATCTGATTTTTCCCTGCAGTCCTGCTTCTCCACAAAGTACAAAGATTATATTGTAACTTGTTTTTCTATCTCCCCTCCTTTTTTTTTTTTGTGTGTGTGTGTGTGTGTGTGCACGCGCGCTGCGGAATAAACACAGGCCTCATACATGCTAGACTAGTGCTCTGCCACTGAGCTAAACCCATGGCCCATTTGTCTGTCTCTTTTTAAATGAAATATTGAGGTATCTCTATTCAGTGCTATGTAGACTTAACCTTCTGTGGCTTCAAAGAACACTGTATTAATATTTAATACATTCTTCAGTAAAGCCCTTTACAGAAGTAAACAATACGTATCTGGAAGAAGTTAAGAATATAGCTAGGATTCCAGTAATTCATTCAAGGTTAAGTGCTAGAATACAATATTAAGTGAAAGTATGCAAGTGACAATTGGTTAGGATACATTAAAAGAACTTTAGTTTTGTTTGTTTTTTTTTCTTTATGTTTTTACTAAGCCAACAGATTTAAATTTTGGTCCTCAAAGAGTCTGCCTTTCCTTTTTTAATTGATTAAACTTTTATAATTTATCAAGTTATTAGTTGATGGAATATTGAGAACTACTGTAAATTTTCTAGTTTTGGTGATTTAGTAATTTTTATTCATAGATTTGAACAATTTCTTATAAGTTTAAATGTTTCTGAAAAATATGTGATGTCAGGTTAACAAAGGTTAATTCAAAGCTAATCTAAAATCCTGCTTTCTATCTTTCCTAAGACAGAAAAATTCACTAAATATACCAGAGGAAATATTTAAAGTTTAACATCCTTATGTTTACCTTTGAAGTTTTGGTCAAACAAAAGTGAAGGGCTTGGGCTTTCAGTGTAGCTCAGTGCTAGAGTGTTTGCCTAACATGCATGATGTACTGGGTTCAATCGTTAGCACCACAGGAAAAGTAAAAAAGTGAAGGGCTTCATAAAGTATCATGACATACAGTCTAGTTAAATGGTGCAGGAAAAGTGTGCATGTGTCTGTGTGTATCTGCATCTGTGAAAGAGTAGAAGGTCTAGAGGGTGTAGCTCAGTAGTGGAACACTTACTTGCCCTGCACAAAACCCTGGGTTTGATCTCCAGCACCAAAAAGAGAGAGAGAGAGATAGATAAGAAACAAATGTGATAAAATGTTTAAAAATGCTGAATCTGAGAGAAGGATATGTGAAAGTTCTCTGGGCTACTTTTACAACTTTTCTTAAGTTCAGAGGATAAAAAGAAAAGGTTTAAGAAAGTCATAAACTGTATGATCACTTTTTGAATAATACATCTACCTGGTTATGAAATTTTTAGTGACAACAGTAACATTTATTGTTTATAACCATTCCAGACTTGGCAGTGTCATAACAAAACAGCCAATGATTTTGTCTTCGTTAGTTCCTCTTCTCTGATAGCCACAGCTGGTCTTTCAACTGATAATCGGTAAGAGATGATAGCTGAAACTGAATCGTATATGTATAGCTGATTTTTTTTATTGCTCTATGTCCTTGTTCCTCAAGAATAATTATGCCTTTAGATATTTTTTTATTAAAAAGACAATTACTTAGAACATTTTTAATGTCCTACTTGTAAAGTTAGGGAGAAAATAATTTGGTTATTAGTAGGATGTACTTTGTATTATTTTCTATGTATTTAAAAAGCTTGAGACAAAAATAGACTCATTATTTATTGGTCATGTCATTTAGTTAACTTAGTTAATCCACCATGGTCCTATTTGGTAGATAGATATGACTTTCACAACAAGAAAATAGGACTCAAAAAGACTCAGTTTTCTAATATCTAATCCATAGCCGCCCACTTCCCTTCACCCTGCCTCTGCAAAAAGCTAAATTCTCTCCTTTTCATCTAGAACAACTGAATTCTGAGGTCAAGGCACACTGAGGTTACTGAGCTTTTTATATTTATCTGAAAGGCCTCAGTTTTCACTAGAAACTAGTTTTTAGGACTGTAGAGTCTTCAGCCTATCTTCCATAGAAATTCCTTACATATATTGATGCCTCTTTATATCAGAAATTTTTCTTTGTGTTCAAGAAAGTTCAGTGTCTTTTTGCCATTTGTTTATGTCATTTCACCTGATAATCAAAGTAGTTTCTATATTCACCCTTTATTTGATATTAATGTAACTACCTGTTAAGCTGAAGTTACGCAGTTTTATAAAATAATAGTTTTTAGTTTTTTTGTAAAACGATTATGTAAGCTTGTTGGTTTGTGTTTGATACTTTTATAAATTTAAGAACATTCTTTGAGAGAGTCATGTTATTTCATTTACATGAGACATACTTATTTTTTATTCTGTTAACTTTCTATGTCACTCAAAAAGTAATCTTTTTTTTCCAGAAACATATGTTTGTGGGATACTCTTGTAGCACCTGCCAATAGTTTAGTCCATGGTAAGTTTTTTAGTTGTGGGGGGTTTTGTTTTGTTTTGTTTTGTTGTTGTTTGTTTGTTTGTTTTGTGATGCTGGGTATTGAACCCAAGGCCTTTTGCATGCAAGGCAAATACTCTACCAACTGAGCTAGATCATGTGTTTTACAACTTTTAAGGTTTATTTTGCTCATGATATCAGGGTTTGAAAACAAAAAGATATACATAATTAACTCTACCTGATACCTTGATGCAGAACAGTAGGATACAGAAAATATAAAAAGCATTTGTCCTTATTTTGAATCTGATAGCCATAGGTCATTATTATGAACATCAATTATACCTAGTATTATGTCCCCTCTCACCACTCCTATTCAGCATTGTACAGGAAGTCTGAACAGTAACACAAGAAAAAAATAAAAGGTATATAGATGTCATGATTCTGTAGAAAATCTCAGTCTGTAAAAGAAACTTCTAGAACTAATGTGGGAATGTAGCAAGAATACAAGGTCAATATACTAAAGTTAGTTGCTGTAAAAATAGTTCCTTAGGGCTGGGGTTGTAGCTTGGTAGCAAAACACTTACCTAGCATGTGTGAGGTCCTGTGTTCAGTTCTCAGCACAGTATATAAAATAAATGTCCATTAACAACTAAAAAAAAAAAAATTTTTTAAATAGTTGCTTAGATCATGGAACAGACATACATACACAGTAGACAGAACTTTGATGAAAGCAGAAAGGCAACTTAATGAAGAAAGAATAATTCTTTCAACGGGTAGTGCTAGAACAATTGAATGTTGAAATGTTTTAAAAAATGAACCTAGAGACCTCACATTTTACAAAATTTAATTCAGAATGGATCATAGGACCTACATGTAAAATGCAAACAATTAAACACGTGCAAAAAAATCTAGGTGTCATGGGTTTGATGATGAGTTTTTAGATACATCACTAAATACACAATCCATGAGAGAAATGCTGAATACAGGACTTTTTAAAATTAACCTCTTCTCAATATCTGAATGGCAAAAAAGTATACAAAAAGGTGATCATCATAAATAATCATCAAGGAAATGCATGCTGAATTTGCTGTAAGGCGCCACTCTATACACAAATGACCAAAATTAACTAACTTGAGAATATTAAGTGTTGACGAGGAGGTAGAGAAACTAGTAACTTTTCTACGAGTATGTTGCTGATAGAAGTATATAATGAAACAACCACTTTGGAAAACTGGCAGTTTATAATAAAGTTAAATACCTAGCATGTCCCAGCTGTGGATACTATTGCATATATACCCAAGAGAAATGACAATGCATATCTATAAAAAGCTTGTACATTAACGTTTTTAGCAGCTTTCCTTATATAATAAGTGAGAATTGGAGACAATTTTTCCAATTGGATGTCCATGAGGAAACTTTATATAATAGAGTACTATTCATCCACTATGACTGGTTAGATCAGATCAACTTAGGTTCCCTCTCATTGTGCCATGGCCAGAAAACTTTCTCTAGGAAATAAGCTGGGGCAGTTGTATGGCTTGTTTCCCATCTTTCAGAGATGGGAATGCCCAATGATGTCCAATCTCTCAAGTCATTTCTTTTCCTTATATTTCATTTGGCTTTTAAATTGTTTCAGGCAAGAAAGCAAATCTGGTCTTATGCCATCTTAGCCATATTATTAAGTGGTTTTAACATTTTTCTTTTAACTTTCAGCTTTTACCTGCCATGATAGTGGAGCCACAGTTTTAGCATATGCTCCTAAACATCAACTACTAATATCAGGTGGCAGAAAAGGTTTCACATGTGTATTTGACCTTCTCCAACGACAACAAAGGCAACTTTTTCAGAGCCATGATTCCCCTGTTAAAGCCATTGCTATTGATCCAACTGAAGAGTACTTCGTTACAGGATCTGCAGAAGGCAATATAAAGGTAAACATGAAAAAAATAAAAATTAAAAAAATAAAGGTAAACATGATTGATACCACAATATCTACAAAATGAAAAAAAAAATTTAAGAAATCTTGTCTTTAATCACTTTGACAATACCAGTCTTAAGTAATAGTAGTATTATTTCAACAGTGCTAATTACTTTTTAAGAAATCCTTTGATAAATTACATTTGAAATTTTTTTATTGCCTTAAAATATGCTTAACTCATGCTTAAGAAGTAACTTTTCTACAAGTATAAACATATCTCAGACATTAGAACTAGTCTTGCCTCTATATTCTTGAGTTGTTTAATTTACTGGATTCAATTTTCAGGTACTGAGTAATATACTGACATTTTCTTTTATCCCACATTTGTCCCATTTTTTTAATATAATAAAAGTATCCAACCACTCAGTGCCTGAGTGAAGAATTCTGAATGTACCTGGATAAGCCCTGTGCCTAGTTGTCCTTTCAAACTTAGGTTGTTTAAAATGTTAAGCAGCCTTGTTAAAAATGTTAAGGAGATTTATTAAAGGTACAAATTGCAGAAATACTCAGTTGTGAAGTCCAAGGTTCAGGAAAGTGCATACTTACTGGGTTTTTTTTGAGGGTCCTGTGGCCCCATTTGGAAATGGATAAATCAGTTTAGACTAGTCTCCATGTAAAATAAGTGGTCAGCAACCCTACACCAGGGATCTGGTGTTTTAGAATTCATTAAGCAATTAGCATATTTAGTGCAATAAGATGGACTTCTAATGCACTAAAAAATGACAAAATCATGGAATTTGCAGGGAAATGGATGGCATTAGAGCAGATTATGCTAAGTGAAGATAGCCAATCCCTAAAAAACAAATGCCAAATGTCTTCTTTGATATAATGAAAGCAACTAAGAACGGAGCAGGGAGGAAGAGCAGGAGGAAAAGATTAACATTAAACAGAGACATGAGGTGGGAGGGAAAGGGAGAGAAAAGGGAAATTGCATGGAAATGGAAGGAGACCCTCTTTGTTATACAAAATTACATATAAGAGGTTGTGAGGGGAATGGGAAAAAAAAAAAACAAGGAGAGAAGTGAATTACAGTAGATGGGGTAGAGAGAGAAGATGGGAGGGGAGGGGGGATAGTAGAGGATAGGAAAGGTAGCAGAATACAACAGTTACTAATATGGCATTATGTAAAAATGTGGATGTGTAACCGATGTGATTCTGCAATCTGTATTTGGGGTAAAAATGGGAGTTCATAACCCACTTGAATCTAATGTATGAAATATGATATGTCAAGAGCTTTGTAATGTTTTGAACAACCAATAAAAAAAAGAATCTTAAAAAAAAGACTTCTAATTATTAAAACTGGTAATTTTCATAACTCTCAGCTAGAAAAAAAACAGAACTATAGAAATTTGAAAAGGTTTTTCTTAGAATCAAAGTAAAAAATTAAAAATATAAATTGCATTCAGAAACCATAATTTAATAAATTCATGTACAGAGTAGTAAGTTTTTTTTTCTAATGATGACAATAAAATCAGGAAATAAATTAGTTTTCTAAATCTAAAATTGATGTTCTATAGCTTGGGAGGCTAAAGCAGGGGGATCACGAATTCAAAGCCAGCCTCTGCAAAAGCGAGGCACTAAGCAACTCAGGGAGACCCTGTCTCTAATAAAATACAAAATAGGGCTGGGGATGTGGCTTAGTGGTTGAGTACCCCTGAGTTCAATCTCCAGTACCAAAAAAAAAAGTAAAAATAATAAATAACATAGATGATAGATGTTCTAAAACTATATAAGTAATTCACATAAATAAAGATACTTATAATTTTTAAAAAAAAATTTTAGTTGCACATGGACACAATATCTTTATTTTGTTTATTTATTTTTACATGTACTGAGGATTGAAACCAGTGCTTTATATGTGCGAGGCAAGCGCTCTGCCACTGAGCCACAACTCCAGCCCTGATACTTATAATTTGCTTTAGAAATAAACACATTTATTTTGATATGGGCTGAAAATAGAAAATCTAAGTAAGTATTCTGAAGTTTTAAGAGCTGATGTTTGTCTTGTAGTTAAAGCATAGCTTTACCAGGATGGAGAGCCTCTAGGTGTTTTCCTCTTTTCAGCATTCTGATAGCTAGGTACTCAGTAGTACAAAAACAGGAGTAGAGTATTCCACTATACATCTAGAGAGCAAAAGCTCAGCTAAGAAATAGAAAATTTTTATATTTTAGTCTCTGTAATACTAAAAGTTTCTGTGGCATTGTACACTTAACCTTCATATAATTAGGTTTTCTCATCTCCTATGCAGGGTTAATACTACCTTATTAAAAGATACTATCAACCCAGTTTTCATTTTGTTCATAATGTTTTTCAGATTTGGAGTCTTTCTACTTTCAGTCTTCTCCACACTTTTATCAATGAACATGCTCGGCAGTCCATTTTTAGAAATATTGGAACCGGAGTGATGCAAATTGAGACAGGACCAGCAAATCACATTTTCTCTTGTGGAGCTGATGGAACAATGAAAATGAGGATATTGCCAGATCAATTTAGCCCTTTAAATGAAGTGTTAAAAAATGATGTGAAATTTATGCTGTAATATTTTTACAAAAAAGATGTATAATTTATTACCTGTTTGGTGGAAGTTACCAATAGATGTCATGTACAGTAATCATTCTCTATACCACAAATAAGCTCTTGCTTTATTATTTTAATGTTTATTTTATGGAGCTTTGCCCTTGATGCACTGATGCCTTAAAAATTAACAGAATCATTCAGAATTAGATTATATTGCCTAAAGTAGAATGTGTAAGTAATGCTATAATAATACATATTTATAGTATGGTGTAGTGAGTATGTCATACAGTTAAAGGAGTTTTGTTTTCTTATTGTTGATAAACTCTTCTGCAGATCTCTCTGCATGAATTTGAGAGTAAAAATACCCTTTAAGTAATGGCAGTTGCACATAATAACTCATCACTTAATCCACTCTTACTTCCTCTATCAGGCATATGCATCTCGGACTCTTTTCCTCTTAATGATAGATTGATATTTGAGTAAGAACTCAATAACATCTCTTTTAAAACTGTCATTGGAACATAAATG